CATTTAAGGCTTCTAGAGTACATCTGTTAGAACCATTTGTGAATAAATTTCAGCACAAGAGTTTGTAGAATTGAGAACTTCATATGTAAAGATTACAATGAAAACACAATAGATAAAAGCACAAAAAGCTACAAAGGCTGATTGATAATGTAAATGTGAGAGGGAATTATCATGGGTAAACTTAACCTTTTCTTCATTTACACCACACAGTACAGCCGTGGAGAAATCAATTGAGACTTCAAAATCTACTACATTTTCAACCCAATCTGTTTCCCCAATATAAAAAAAACAAAACAGTTCATGACATAAAACGTTGTTATTTTGTTCCACTGTTTATTTTATTTCAATAGATATACATGAGGATTAATATAGCTTTCTGGTAAACAGCAACCAACTACAGACAGTGCAACCCCATTTTTAATTTGTTGTCTTACCTAATACTAGAAATAACAGCATTAATAAGTGATAACAAACTTGGGCAGAAAATGGTGTGCTTCAGCTTATCCTCTGGATTTTAACTTTCCAACTATCATTCCCAACACCAACCTGCTGCCAACATTTGCTCTTTTCCCCTCTCACATTTGTCCTTTCTGCTTGGACTTCGCCATCCTAAGTTTCTGCTGTCAGAACAGTCTTTCTCTATTTATTCATTTTACCAGCTCAATGTCTAGCCCTGGATTCCTACTGCATCGTTCCTTTCCTAACTCCAATCCTTCTTTACAAACCCTTCTGGGTTTACTTTGGCTAATTCATCAGCCTTTCTTCTCAATTCTGCCTCTTTTTTGATTGTAAAACATACTGAGTGAAAGATAATGACAAGAACAATCATAACACATGAATGAACAATATTTTGATGATGCATGAACTATATTTAAAACTGAAAAAAAAATCTCAGGGCACAATAAACTGTATTGTGCAGAGCTCCACTGTATTACTGCAGTGTGTGTTCAGAAAGGCAGAATCCAACTTTAAAAATCACTAATGCTGATTTTTAGCCCTGTGGCTAAAAAAAACACAAAACAAGTGAGAAACAAAGGAATTAGCACAGTCCATGTCAGGAATGTCTCAAGTATTTACTCAACTCACTGATTACAGGGGGAATCTGTGCACAGCTAGTGATATAAAAGCACCTGGGATTCCATGACATTTTCCCATGACCTTCAAAATAATTCTGTAGAATAAAAATGTATCAGGAACCATAGGCTGTTGTAGATAATTCTGCAATATTAAAGCTGCATTAATGCAAGTTCTATTTGAAAACACACACACAATAACTTTTTATTCTTCACAGCCATACCAGTGACCATCTACATTTGCCATTACATGAAACAGCAGCTCCTTCCTCTACAGCAAACACCACAGATTTTCTTGAACTATCTGTCCTATTTTCTTTTCAAATGGAGAAAAAAAAATGGAGACCTGCTCATTTTGTGTGTCAAAAAATACTTCAAGAATAAACCTGATTATTAAAGAGCTATAAGAGACACTGTTTCTTTGTCTCCTCTACCAACCATACCACAAGGTTTATGTTGTACATAATACTGCAGTGATATACGGGATCCATCAGGTTTGTTAACTAAAAGCAGTTTCACAGTGCCAGTGATTGATAAACTATGGGACTATTAAAACATTAAAAATGTTAATCTTTGTAATAATCTCCTGAAAATTTTTTATATTAATTTAAACCATGGATCATTTTAATATTTAATCATTGCAGACTTCAGTTGGAATGAGGATAGCCATTCAATGAAAAGCACTTCATCTTTTATTTTGAAAAATGATCAGCTAGTATTTATTCAGTAAATCTCTTCACATTTTTCCCTCAATCCAAATAAACCTGCAAGCAAATGAAAAAATCCACAAGAGCAGAAAAATTTAAGGCAGAGTTTGGGTCAGAAAACATTGACTTTCACACTCCTGTTTCCCAGGAGTAACTGCATTACAACAGTAGTACTGTATAAGAGTTGGAGGACTGGGGGAGACTTCTACTGCAAATGGAAATCACTGGCTTCTTTGTCTACATCTTACCATCATCTATGTTGCATTCTCTTCACATATCTCATAACGTGCAAACATAGTAATTCATTTATTCTTCACAAGTACTTAACGGACTGACTCGGCTCCCCACAATGAGATTAAACCGGTTTAGGTTTTTTAATGGGCAATCCCATTTTGTAACATCAGCCCAACTCCTATCCTCTCCTGTAATTCACAGCTTGCCTTGCTTAATGAAGAATTTAGATTAATATGGAAATATCCCAAAAGGGAAAAAGCCAACAACTTCCTAGTTATGATAAAGATCTCACAGAAACTCTAAAATTCGAACCGCAATTAACAGTAACTAGTCTTGATGGTACCAATTCATTTTGAAAGGTATTTAAAATTATCTAACCAAAACTAATTCATGGTCTAGAGAAACAAATTTCACAGAAAAATGCAAGGACAGTATCTTCACTGTGCTACAAAAATATAAACCAAAGAAAACAACCTTGTGTTATTTTCTACATAGGGTCTACTAGAACTGGATATTTTCTGTAGCTACTGCCATGAAGTACACTGGCCTTCAGATGCGCTTTAGACTGCGCTGCAGGAATTTGGCTAAAGTATTTTAATTAAGTAAATCCTAAAGATACCCTGGACGGCACCAAAGGTCAATACTACAGCTTACATGACTATTACTCCTTTACTAGAACACCAATAGTGAGGTAAAAGATTTTCAAACTGGCACACAAACTGGCTTCCTTATCTGAAGAGGCTTCAGAGTCTAACAGCAATTACTACAAAATCCAGAAACAGCAGGAGTGAGCGTAGTATCCTTCAGTGCATATAAACTTACTCTGCATAGTTCAAATTAATGGAAAAAAACCATAACCAACAACACAAAGTACTAATAAAGATACTGCCTTTACTCCCAATTTTACAAAGGAAGTATGTATATCCTTGCATATTACCTTTCTCTAAAGTATGTTCTTAAGGAAAGACAAATGAAAAAATCCTGGCCATTCAATGTGATGCAGTAATAAACTCTGGAACTCAGTTGCTTGTATACGAAATGGAAAGCACAGTCCTGTTTATATGACTTTATGAAAGCCACATATATGACTTTGTAGGAAACTCAATATAAGACTTAAAGCTAAATACATGAGGAACTTTGCCTCAGTTAACAGGCATCTCTGCTTTAGTAATCTGATTTGAAGTAATCTTTCAAAATCTAGATGTCTGAAGAGCTCCCACATTTGCATTGAAAAAGTATTTTCTATATTGTTTTTGCAGATACAAAAGACTATTTTAAGCACAATAAGAAGTCAGTTGTAGAACATTGCAGTAATCTCTTCTTGGCTACATAAATCAAATTCACAAAATTCCCAAGATTGCTGATGAACCTCTTGAGGTCATCTACTTGTGCTCATCTATTCCTGGTCAACCAGGTTTAGCTAGAAGACATAAAATATATCTGAGGTAGACTTACATCTTTCCAACTTTCACAATGGCAGAAAAGAAGTCCTAGAGGGTAAATTGTATTAATGCATAAAGAAAGATAATCATGTCAACAAAAAAAAACTGGCCAAATTTTTCTTTAGGCAAGCAGACAAGCTATTTTTTGAACAATGGTTTGTCCCCAGCCCATTTTGTACCGAAGAGTAAAGTGATTCAGCCAAGGAGACATGCCAAAGAGCAGTACTTAAGAAACAGCTCAATTTTCCCCGGATTTGTAGAATTTTGTGTATCTCTTAAACACCTCTTAACAGTTGTCTACTATAGAAATCACATATCAGTAGCAAAGACTGCATTAGAACTCAATAGATCTTTAATAGCAGGTACCTTTCCATTCGATTAGCTCTTTAGGAATGAGTCTGGGCTCCAACAGGAAGGAACTCAAAACCTATGACACGCAATTGAATTACTGAGTGTGAAGGTGTGTGCTGTATATATAGCCCAATTACACCATAAGCTCTTTCAGAGGGGGTTTCTGATACTACTGTGATCTGTCCTTGTAACTGTGTGGGCTGATGGAAGGTGGAGCAGCTTGAGAACCACATCAACAGTGGCAGAGAATCCCCTGCCAACACTTCACATTTAGAAATTTTTGCAGCTCACATATTCTCATATATTTCTGTCCAGGATTTTCTGAGCACAGGCATGATCAGAGCACTCTGCACAGAGCACAAAGGAGTCCAATGTACCCGGAACACATCACACCTGTAAGGCAAACATAGCCAGCTCAACACTCCGGCTTGGATCATATTTACTGCACACCCGGCCGAACACATCCAGCAGCACTACACGGCCCAGTCACAGGGCACGTGGGGGGTCAGCACACACAGAGCAGCGGATTGTCCAGCTCCAGACACCCTAACACCTAACACCTCATACAAGACAAGTTCTGCACAAACACCCAACCACACCGCAAGGGCGGGCAGCATGTGAACAGTCCTGCTCACGAAGGAAAACCATGAGCCATCCTCCCATGGAGGCATCGAAACCTTCGGTCCCGCTGGCATGCCCAGGCCAGGCCTCGAACACAGCTCCGCCGACGACACACTGCTGAGGGGTTTGTTTCCCTCCAGTTTTGCTGCCTGGGGAGGGTCGTACTTCTCCGAGCACGGAAAAGCAGCCGTGGCAGTCGAGGAGGCTCATACAGCGAAACAGAGTATCAACCGCGACCTCAGGACAGCAGATATTCCCGCCCACGCCCAAAATGGCGGCAGCACCACCGACCCTCTCCCACCCCAGCCCCTCCTGCCCGCGGCCGGGGGCGGGGCCTCCCGGATTGACAGCGCTCTCCGGCCAATCGCGAGGCCGCGCGCTGCCCGCCGGCCAATGGCAGTGCGGCCCCGCGGCGGTCAGCGGGCCGGGCGCGCGCGCCGCCGGCGCGAGTCCTGCCTGCCCGCGGGCCAATGGCGGCGGCCCCGCGGCGCGGGAGGGGCCGGGGCCGGGGCAGCGCCCGCTCGGGCCCCGCGGCCGCGGCCGCTCGCCCACCCCGGGACGCGGCGCGGTACCTCGGGCCGAGCGGCAGAGCTCCGCCTCTTCCCTCCTCCCTCGCCGGGGCGACTTCCTGTGCTAGCGGGGCTCCCGCCACCTCCTGCCCGAGCGTCCCCGCCTCCCGGTCCCGCCCGCCGTGCCCCGGCCCCGCGTCGCTTGTGGCGGCGGGGTGGCTCCGGGTCGGCCCTGGCGTCCGGGTTGTGCTGCAGAGTTTTCAGGGAAGATGCTTTGGGGCAGGCTGGAAGCCCAGCCATGGAGTGTTTCAGCATACCTCGCTCACGTCCTGCGCTCACTTTTTACCGCTATGTTTCTTGCCTGTGCCAGAAGTGCTGCTCCAGACATGGAGAGCAAAAAGCAATTGGCCCCTTTCACGTTGTTGAATCATAGGGGGGTGGTTTAAGTTTGAAGGGACCGTAAAAATCTTCTAGTTCCTGCTCCCCATCATCCTCGCTCATCACAAGCCAAATGGGAACTTAAATTCAAAGTCCCAAAAATAAAACACATGGAAAATTATGAACTCCAATTATACAAAGATAATTCTTTGTCTACCTTGAGATGATGCTGGGTCTTCTCCAACAGATAATTCTTTTACTTCTGTGCAAGAAGCAAGCTACTGACTCTCAGAACAGTTTACTAATTAATATTGCAAGTTCATGCCTTGGTTCCTGCAAAATGGCACTTGATAATCAAGTATTGCGCTCCCCTGTAAAGAAAGATACACAGAAAAAAAAGATTGCATTTGTTTACCTCTGTATTTATTCCTTTTCACTTTGGAAGTGAAAGCCATACCCAGCTGAAATTTCCCATCTTTCTCGATGACATGCATAGAGAGCGGAGAATGAGCCTGCAGAAAAGTTGATTACTCAAGAATTTGTGTTTGGCGTGCGTACCAAACCATAGTTTTCTCCAGTCGTTTCCATAGCAAGCTTAATAGATACTTTAAATCATACAGCTTTTTTATAAAGATAGTCTGTCCCGATTTCGAGTGATGAGACAAAATACTTTTTTTGTACCCTTTGTTTTGTTAAGAAATCTCACACTAAGGGTATTTAGCTGCTTTGAACATGGCAGGTCACTGGGCACAACCTTGCATTTTCTTCCCAAGAAATCTTGTGTCCCTCTGGGACTGGAGTTGCCACAACCACCGTGGGCACCTTCTCTGATTTTTCTAGCTTCTGTGTTCAGGATTTTCAACAATAATTTTATTTTATCCTTACTCCTAATGGTAGGGCAGAAACCATGTACATGTAAAATATTTTAATACTTCATTTTGGTTCCTTGATTGTTTCAATATGATTCACTTAAATCCAAGTCATGATTGTGCTAATGTATATTTGAATATAGTATTATGTAAAAAACAGCAATCACATTCAAATAGGCATTACACGTGGTTTTTGACTGTAGAATCATAAGCTAAAAAATTCCATGAAGGAATATCAGGATCCGTGTTTTTTGGCTGCATTATTTTGTATTATCTGAACCACTGCTGAGGACTTTGTCCATATGAGTCCTAGTAGCAAGTACATCTGGTTCTAGTTCAGTTTCACCTAATTTGACCTAATCACAATATTCATTTCACTACTGAGTTGTTCTGCTAAGTAATAAACCAGTGTATGCCCAGCAGCCTCAATACTTAATCTGTAAAGAAGCCATAAGGAATTATGACTTCATGAAAAAGAGCTTTATGGGCACTGAGATGTTTTCACCATTTTAGTTTCAGTCTTTCATATCTTCATTCTTAATCCTCATTTTATGGGAAAGTTGTTTGTTTCCCACTGTGATTTTTTTTCTGCAAGAAGGGATTCACACTGGTCAGAATGGAATGGTCAGAAGGACAGTTGGCTTTTACACCATGAAGTGCTACTGACAAGCATGCTGTATTTTGTGGGATTAGAAGCAGCCTGGGTGGAGTATATGTGTCCTAAGATATTTTTAATCAGTTTCTTACAGGTAGTTATAGAATAGGGGTACCGTTACTATTACATGACTGTAACTGAAATGTATGTCAATCAGAGAGGGATTTTTGTTGATCTTGCCACACCCATCAATTTGCTGTCATATTCTTGGACCACATTAGTGTAAAATTCTAATTGTATTTTTAAATGACATAATTTATCTCACAACTTTTTTCAGGAAATGTATCAGCCATTGTTTTCAGTGACTGTCTTTTCCTGGTTTTCCTCCTATTTTCATTCTTTCACGCGATCTTCAGTTTCTTCTGACAATTTGACAAGAATCTGTCCCTTTTTGTTCTCATCATATCAATGATTTTTAAGTTTATGATTTGTGAAAATTTTTAACAGAAGTGTAAACCCATTGAAAATAAGTTTCCTTTTTTATTAATCTTTCACAAAGCTCTGAGAAGCCATTCCTGAGCTTTTAGAGTTTAGTTAGTTTAGGTAAAAGGTTGGGAAATGATGCTCAACATCTTTGTTCCAAGTTGAGAACACAGATTAAATTAACATACAGAAAACTATCTCCCCAAAGTGCAACAACTTGTCTACTGTCTAACCTGATGTCTCCTAATGTATGTCTAAACACCAAGTTAAGCTCAAAGATATGAAACGATGTTCTTAATAATTTTTGTTATATTAATTTTGATTCCACCAAGTAAGAGTTTTGTCCCATGTCTTATCCTGAACTGTAGCCAATATTGCCAATAAAACAGCTGTTTGACTGGAGCTACTATTCAGGCTAACATCGAAACTTTCAGGTAATACCTTACTTCAGAACTTCTAAAAAGTACAGGTATTCCCAGTCTAACCACAAAGCTAAAACTCTCTTCGTGCTCCTGTCACTTCCTGACAATTTAGTGTCTGGTGGCTTTGACAGATATAGTCTTGCTCTTCTCATATCCAACCAGAACTGCTACTGAAAGAAATAATCACCTTAGCTCATCCCTTTATCCATGTAATTCCTCATCTTGCATCTCTCCAATGTCTCCCTATGCTGGCTCTGTACACACTTTGCCTTCATTTTCAAATCTTTTCTTTCTAGCCTGTCTTGTTTTCACTTAGCTTTTATATGTAGTTTCTGGCCTCTGCCTAATAAAGAATTCTGATTCCACTACTTCTTGTTTTGTTTTGTTTTGTTTTGTTTTGTTCTGTTTTACACTATTTTTTAGGAAAGCCCTATTTTGCTTTCCCCACTTGTCACTGTTTCTCTCAAATCCATCCAAAACACAGCTACTGTAACTTCATGCTGCTGATGTGCTGTGCCTACTGCTATCATGCTTCTCCCATACTTAGTATGTTTCCTGTTAGTTCATGTCTGGTCTTACATTTCAGTTCTAATTTCTATAGCGCAGATACCTTTCTCTTGCTGTACATTAGGTTAGTGGCTACACCACTAGCCCTAAAATCAGGCATTCCTAAAATCCCTGCGGCATCGTCCTTACCCAGCTGTCCTTACCCATGCTTCTTGTGGGGATAGGAGGGTTGTGGAGCCCATCCTCTCTCCTTCCAGCTGAAAATCTCAACATGATGTCAGTCATGATAGATGGTGCATTTTGTGACACAGCCAGCCTGCCATTAGGAAAAACCCGTTTCACTGAACTGTCTGAGGGTAATGACTTTTAGTGACACACTGACCTAGGCTGGCTCAAGTCAGTGTGCTGGAGGTGAAAGGCTTCATATTACATTACCAGGATTCTGAGCCATCAAGTCTGCTCCATCCTACCCCTACTAAATCTGTATTGATAGACTTGGTAGCATTTTCCTAAATGCCGTCATCCATACAGATGTCTGCCGTTGTTTTGTTGATGCGGTCAATCAATACTACATTAAATGTTACCTTCAGTTTACCCTTAATTGTCTAAAGTAGATGTGATATTTTCATTATTTATACAACTATGCCATTAAATTATGCATTCCAGATTAAAAGAATAAAATACTTGTTTACATTATTATTATTATTATTGCTCTGGCATCAACTTTTGGATTTCTATGTAAAGAAATTAATCTCCTATTGGAGGGGGAAATGGGGGCTGACAAGCTCTAGCTCCTGTTGCCTCTGGGACGTAATTATGCTTGCAAATACAAAACCAGAAAAAATCATAAGCTTAACACAGTAGACACTCTTGAAAGTTTCATCTCAGCATGAAGCTATGTTTTAATTATTATTTTTTGTCTGCATTGTTCAGATCGACAGTGCACCAACTAGAGTAAGTGCTTATCCTAGTTAATTCTTCATGAGACTTATGTCACTGGAAGATGCATTTAATTTATTTCCTTTTGCTTTCCTTAAGCTGGCACAGACTAAGTGGCTATCTATAAACATTCCACAAAGGTTTTACTACTTTAGGGCCAGATCCAAATCCTGTTGAGTCAATAGGAAGCGTCAAAGGTCTTTGGAACAGGCCCTATTACAAGACAGAACTAAGCCGTGATTTGTTTGGGAACCTTGAAGAATAAAAAAGGAAAAACATCTTATTTCTATTCTACAATATTAACAGATCTCCTATTTGATAGAGATTTTCCCTTCTTATGAAGCAAACTTGGATATAATATATATATATGTATATATATATGTATGTATCCTCCACATATCTACATGTGTATGTCTTGATTCCAGCTGAAGATTGATAGCATTATAATAAAATCTTTTTCTGCTGCAATTTCTGTTTGCAAATATTACTGTATGTAACACATAGAATTGCCTATTTAGCACATAATTTTTATACCTGAACAACTGTCATCTCTTTTTAAGGAGATTTTCCTATTTACTTATTTATTTAGGTAATTACAATTATGTATTTCATATTGGGGGAAATAGCATTTTTTGAAAATTACTGTGACACTAGTTTTGTACATTTTATTTAAAAAAGCTGATCTGCTAAGTATCAGCATAATAGTTATTTATTACAGGATCAAATAAAATGCTCAGCTTCCAAGAATGAATTAGGTCTTGCAATGACAAAATTAACCTAAGAAATGCACTGCCTCCAAATATTAGTGCCATCATCTAGGAAACAAAAACCTATTTACAATTTTTAAAATTATTTGTAATATATTTTGAAATCCATACTCTCCAAATTTCATGATA